TCACGGTCTCCCAGTTTCTAGCCTGGTGCCTTAACCACTACACCAAACTGGGTCTCGTATGTATGTATGTATGTATGTATGTATGTATGTATGTATGTATGTGTATATATGGTGCGATGTTACAGAAAGACATGCTGGTGGGCAGGGGTGGGAGAGGCACAATCTTGATTAAAAGTTTCCCTTTTGTTAATGTCATTGAATCCTTAATCCATGCCCTTGGACACATAACAGAGCTGGAGGGCTTGCTGGATCACTTGGCTGAAGTAGCACCTTCCCTGGAGTTCCTTAGTTTACTGGGAAATTCAGCATGTCCGAATGAGCTGGTCTGCAAAGACAAGGATGAGGGAGACTACCAGAGATACAGGTTAGTATCCCAGACTGCAACTGTGGTTAACAATGGCTGCTGAGATGAAATAGTTAGAAAGTAATTTAGGGGAACTAATGGTCTATTGAATGTTACCAGCTAAGACATAGGACTCTTCTAGATGAGAGTACAAATCGATCAGTGGAGCAAGACGCTCCCCAATTCCAAAGATGCTTCACTAGATCTTAAAGTAGGATCTGGCTTCCTCCTCCTTTTGTCATGCATGAGGCAAACCAATAAACCCCATTTGCCCAAAGCTAAGGAAGCAGAAAGAAGCCGAGATGTGGTGCATTGCCCCAGTGATAGCAGGGACTGAGTCCACTTCTGTTAGGACCTCCTTGAATCTTTCTCACTGTCTGGTATAAAAGTATCCAGTCCAGGGATTATGACACATTGGAGCTATTAAGAACAATTATATATGACACAGAGATAGGTGACCCATGGAGTACAACCTGATAGCAAGTTCTCCTGCGCAGGTTTTGTAACGTTCACTCTGTTGTATGAGCTGTTCACCTCCATTCCGTGCCTATATGTACAGTCAGCTTTTCTCTGAGCCAAGATTTTGCAAATTCTATCATCCTCATAATAGATCCCTACCAAGGCAGCCATTCATTGCAGAATGCTGACTCAGTGAAATTCTCATTGAATCAGCAGCACCACCCCCAAACCCTCAGCAGTCTCATGCATTTCCATAAATTACCACACAGGGACCACCAAGCATCACCAATTGCACTTTTAAGTTCCAGCCCTTTCTTTAAAAATAGTTACATCAAATTGACAGAAAAATAGATGCATGTACAACAATATTAAAGGTATGATTTAATATTAGCATTCAGGGAAACAGGAAGAAGAAAAAGCCTCTAGAATATACCATAAACAAAAGAGCTCCAAAAATTTGGAATGAATTGTTCAGAAGTCCTCTTCCCATTTGTAATCGTTAAGCCAACATAGCTATGTTTTTCTATATCCCTGTCTGATATAATTGGCTGCCAGTGTCGAAGAAACATCAGAACAGTAGAAAGACAGGAATTATTACTGCATTTTCAAAGAAACCCATACATGCTGTGCATGATTTGTACTTCTTCCGTTGTCTTAAGGTGATACCGTCTATGTATATGAGGGGTATGTGGGCTCTTTTAGACATAATAGCAATATCAGGACAAACAGCATGGAATTTTATGCCTACTGATTTTGCATACCAGCCTTCATTATGCATGTGGGTGAGGCTGTATTGTACTTTCTGTTTTTCCACCACATTTTCAGCTTTTATAGTATGGGTCAGGGCTAAGCCCATTTTGTTGCCTGAAACATTAAATTATTCTTTAGTGAAGAGCCCAGTCTCCAATTCTCAGGGTGTTACTGAATTTTGGCAGGATGGCTTCAGTGTGTCTTTAGGGCCACCAAAAACTGAGAGCTATAAGAAGGACTTGAATTGTTCACAACTGCAGTATTAAAGTATCCTCAAGAAACCACTGTTGGACCCAATGGCAGTGGACAATTGTTGTCCTGTTTTCAACTTTCTCTTTTTGGAGAAGGTTGTTCAGAAGGTGTTAGGCTACTGGAGGAACAGATTATCTGGACTCCTTTCAATATGGTGTCAGACTTGGGCATAGTACTGAGATGGCATTGACTGTGCTTGTGGGTGGGACCAAGATGGAGGTGGTGCATCCTTCCTGACTCTCTTTGGTCTCCCAGTGACCTTCTATATCATCAGTCATAGTATCCTTCTGGACCAGCTCAGGTAGTTAGGAATGGAGGCATGGTGCTGTAGAGGTTCTCTTTCACCTGGGGTCGGTTCCTGTCAATGTTTGTGGGGTGGAGAAAGAGGTCTAGACATAAGCCCCTCCTCTGAAATTTCCATAGGGTTCTTCCCTCTCCTCCTTCCTACTTAACATCTCAACCTCTGGCTGACCAGATAATGCCATCAATGTTCTTTCTCAGTGCTTGGGGGTTGTGGGGGCCTGGATTTATTTATTTTTTTAATTGCTACTTTTAATTTGTTGTTCACCCCTAGAGCTGTGTGCCAAGGGGCAGTCATATAAGTTGAATGAATGGATGGAGAGACAGATGACATTCTTTAATTACATTTGGCTTAAATATTTAGCCGGAGACTTGCCTGACTATCAGACTTGCCTGATATTTGGAATATTTGAAACGAAGCAGAATTCTTCTGAAACAGGCTACGTTGGAATCTGAATCCTTTTAATCAGCTGCTGTAAGACTAGAGGGAGAGATACCAAAAAAGAGGATGCATTCCTTCTAAAATTTTCCATGAAAAGGATATAAGAGAGTAGGGAGAAGAAGGACAGTAGTGGAAGAAAGAGGAAAGGGGGAATCAGGACACCGTTTTAGTTTCTGACTACAGTGAATGCTGTGATTAGCAAAGACTGGGGCAGAATGTCAAAGTAATACGGCATAGGACTGTTCCAGAGTTCGGTATTCTTTCCTCGATCTCTCACAGGAGCAGGAATATCATAGAATGTTTTCAGGTGACCCAGACTGAGGGATTCCTTTGTCTGACAATGCAGAAAGTCCACATCCTTCAGCAGCATCTCTTTCTTGATGTTCCACATTCATCATGCACCCCTTTCTCCTATCACATTTGGTGAGCTGATGCTAACTGAGCCAAAAAGAGAAATCCAGCTAGTTTCCTGTATTCATAATTTCCTTGATCCTGTACCTGTTCTTCTGACCTTTTGCAGGTTTCTTGCTAGCAAGCATGCCTGAGATTTTATGCATTTTCAAACATTCTGTGGGAAAAAACAAACAAAAATTCTTCACATATATCAGGAGAGGAATCCAATCAACCACTAATTACTTTTGCAGTATTTAATTAAGAAAAATAAAAATTGCTGCTCCTTTCCTGAAATGTTGCAAATTTCCAAGCTCAGGCCACTTCTGTTCTGGATGTTATCTTTTTAACAATTATCCTATCATACAATATATACTGTAAATTTATCTTCTTTTATTTTTAATCCATAATTCTTAAAATGTTCTTTGACCACATTTGTACGAAACCCACAGATTTGCTTGCCAGTTGCATACAGTCTTTTTGTATGGGAACAGGGTTGGAGGCAATGACAAAAGGAAGGTTCAAACCCCAAAAACACTTATGAGAAGGATGTCCAGTTTTGATTTCCAGTGAAAATTAATATGAATTTTGGTAATTCAAATTTTTGAATCAAGATTTGGGTTTGAGCACAAGTGATCGTGGGAGGGACTGGGGTGAATCTGTTTTCTGAATTGGCCTCTGAACCAAATTTGGGCTCACTGCACATCTGTGCTATCTACTAGCATAAGGGAAATAAATACTACTTCTGGCATATCACACATATATTCTGAGAAGCTGCATCCAAAAAGGTAATTATACTTTTCATAGTATAAGATATATGATCTGTACAATAATGTCTTCAACAAGTGATGTAGTACAAATCTGGAAACGGAGACTGTCTTTGTGCTGTTTCATTTATGCTGAGCACACTTGAGCTATAATGACTATTCCATGTTCAGTGTTTTAGTTTTTTTGAAAATAAATTTAAAACTATAGTCTAGAGATTTGTGTGCATTTGAATATGCACACGCACATGCCAATTTCTGCATTTTGCCTAAATATCTTCACCTTAACCTTAAACTGTAAAGCACCAAGATCTGAAATAGTGGTGTCGTAGTGTAAATTTATGAGATATTTTCACCACAGAATTCCTTAAAAATGAATGATATCTCTGTAGTTTACTGTTTTTCACTTTAAGGACATTTTTCTGACAATATGCAGCCTATTAATCATTTAAGCAAAAGTAGTTCCTTAAAGGAGCTGTTCAGAGGCAAGACTCCATGGTTCATTTAATGCTATCTGGGAAAAAAAATCTTGTTGAGTGACATTCTCTGCAGTTATGTGATGTAATATTTATAATATGTCACACAGCCATACATCAAAACAAACATGTCTGTTGTTGCATTTGTTAGCAAAATGTTGATTGTTGAAAAGAAAAAGTGGGTTGGGATAGTTTTAGTACATTATTTATGTCAGGCCATTATATGAAAAATTGGAAAACTCTAGCCATTTCTGTGCAATATTGTTTCTCTTTGACAAAGCTTTTCAAAGTTATTTTAAATTAATTTGATTGGGGTTCATACCGTATCAGATTCCACAGAAACCCAAGTTAATGTCTCTGTTGCTTTCTGCTTTTTTCTCTGGGTCAGAATTTCTAGTTTCTCTTGCAAATTAAAACAAGTGTAAGCAAAATACATAATATCACACAAGCACTATCAAATTTGTTGAGTACTGTGAGTAGTGGCTAATATAATAAGAAATGTAAGTAAATTGTAGGGGTGATACAGAGATATGATTTGCATATTTTTTCTTTCTTTTTTAATTTTAATTTGTTTCTCT